GTGTCCTTTCCTGGCTTTGGTATCAAGGTGATACTGGCTTTGTAGAATGAGTTAGGGAGCACTCCCTCCTTGATGTTATAGAATAATCTCTGCAATATGGGCATCAGCTCTTCTTTGTAGGTCTGGAAATATCCGCTTGTGAATCCATCTGGTCTGGAGCTTTTTTTTATTGTTGTTGTTGGAAGATTCTTTATTAGTGCTTCAATATCAATGCTCCCTGTTGGTCTGTTCAGGAGTTCTATTTTTTCCTGATTGAGTCTTCGGAGATTGTGTGTTTCTAGGAATTTGTCCATTTCCTCTATGTTTTTGAGTTTGTGTGTGTAGAGATTTTTCACAGTATTTACTAATGGTATTTTGTAATTCTGTGGTATCAGTTGTAATATATCCTTTTTCATTTCTGATTGAGCTTATTTGGGTCCTTTCTCTTCTATTTCTAGTTAATCTTCCAAGAGGTCTATCAATTTTTTTTTTATCTTTTCAAAGAGCCAACTTTTTGTTTTATTGATCCTTTGTATTGTTTTTCTGTTTTCCATTTCATTTAGTTATGCTCTGACCTTAGTTATTTCTTTTCTTCTGCCAGATTTGGGGTTGGTTTGTTCTTCCTTTTGTAATTCCTTGAGATGGGTCATCAGATTGTCACTTCATGATCTTTCTGTCTTTTTGATGTAGGCATTTAAGGCTATGAATTTTCCCCTTAGGACTGCTTTTGCTGACTGCCACAGATTTTGGTACCTCGTGTCCCCTTTCTTGTTCAGTTTGGGAATCTTTTTCTTTCCATCTGAATTTCATTATTGACTCAATAATCATTCACCAGCAGGTTGTTTAATTTCCATGACTTTGTGCAGAATTGAGTGTTTCTCTTGGAGTAGATTCCTAGTTTTATTCCACTGTGGTCAGAAGATACATGGTATGATTTCTATTTTTTGAACTTTTTGAGACATGTTTTGTGGCCTAAGATAGGATCAATCTTGGAGAATGTTCCATGTACTGATAAGAAGAATGTATATTCAGCAGTTTTTGGGTAGAATGTTCTGTAAATGTCTGGTAGGCCCATTTTTTCTAGAGTCCCGTTTAAGTCCAGTGTTTCTCTATTTATTTTCTGCTTGGATGATCTGTCCAGTTCTGTCAGTGGGGTGTTCAACCCCTGGCAATTACGATGCTGTTGTTTATCTCTTTGCTTATATCTAGTAGAATTTGCTTTATGAATCTGGGTGCACCTGTGTTAGGTATATAAATATTTAGGATTGCTATATCTTCTTATTGATTTGCTCCCTTTACTATTATATAATGACCATCTTTGTCTTTCTTTATCATTGTTGATTTAAAGTCAATTTTATCTGATATGAGAATGGCTTCACTTGCTTTCTTTCGGTTTCCATGTGCATGGAATATTTTTTCCATCCGTTCACCTTGAATCTTTATGAGTCCTTGTGTGTGAGATGTATTTCCTGGAGATAGCAGATACTTGGGTTGTATTTTTTTTATCCATTCAGCCAGCCTATGTCTCTTGAGTGGGGCATTTGGACTGTTCACATTGATTGACAGAATTGATATGTGGGATGCTGTTCAGGTCATCCTGTTGGGTAGTACCTAATTGCTCTGTTTTACCTCTTGTGCTATTGTTCTGTATGAGTTCTGAGCTTTAGCTTTTGTGTGGCTTTACACTGCTGGGTGTCTATTGTGCTGATCCATGTATAATGCAGTTCTGAGTATTTCCTGCAGGGTAGGTCTGGTCTTGACAATTTCCCTCAGTGTTTGCTTCTCTGGAAAAGTCTTTATTTCTCCTTCATATATGAAACTTAGTTTGGCAGGATACAAAATTCTAGGCTGGTAGTTGTTCTGTTTAAGAAGACTAAAGATGGGGCCCCAATACCTTCTGGCTTGTAAGGTCTCCATTGAGAAGTCTGTAGTTAGCCTGATGGTTTTCCTTTGTAAGTTACTTGATGGTTTCACCTCATGCCTTGCAGGAGTTCCTCCTTTGTGTTGACTTTGGCCAGCCTGATGACTATGTGTTTGGTGACTGCCTCTTTGCAATGAATCTCCCAGGTGTTCACTGAACTTCTTGTACCTGTATGTCTAAAACTCTAGCAAGACCAGGGAAGTTTTCCTCAATTATTCCCTAAAATAGGTTTTGCAGCCCTTGTGCATTTTCTTCTTTACCTTCAGGGATGCCTATGATTCTATTTGGCCATTTTACATAATCCCATATTTCTTATAGGCTTTGTTCATTCCTCTTAATTCTTTTTTCTTCATTTTTGACTGACTAATTCAAAAGAGTTCTCTTCAAGCTCTGAGATTCCTTCTTCTGCCTGGTCTAGTCAATTCTTAAAACTTTTCACTGTGTTTTGTATTTCCTTAAATGAATTTTCATTTCCAGAAGCTCTGTTTGGTTTTTATTTTTAATATGTCAATCTCTTTAGTGAATTTTTCATTCATTTCCTGAATTGTTTTTCTGGTTTCTTTGAGTTCATTTTCCATTTTCTCTTCAAATTTCATTGAGCTTCCTTACAATCCATATTTGGAATTCTTTATCTGTCATTTCAGTATTCTCATTTTGGTTGTTATCCATTGTTAGAGAGCTGGTGTTCCCCCTCAGAGGTGTCCTTTCACTCCGATTTTTCGTACTTCCAGAGTTCTTGCACTGATTCCTTCTCATCTGGAGTAGCTGTTGCTACTTATTTTTGGATTTTCTTTTGTTTAGATGGGGATTTTTCCACCCTCCTCACTCGTAAGGGTGCATCTGTAGCATATGTTGGCTAAGAAACTTTGGCTCTGCTTGTGGATGCTTTGATGGCAGTCTAGGTTCTGGATGGATGCCTTGGTTATAGATATCCTTAGTGTGGTAGTTTTCTCAGTTGCTAGTTGTTTGCAGGCTATAGCAGTGGTGAGCAGTGGTGTGTGGGCTGATTCGCCATCTCTTATTGATGAGGGAGGATGGAGGTCTTTGGAATTCTTTCTCTTTCCTCAGCCCTGTGGTCTTCTTAATAGTGTGAATTGTACTGGCACACCTAGTTTAATCTCTGAGACAGGAGGTGGTGCTTGTGGGTAAGAATCAATCACATCTGGTGTTATTGAGTCAATAAATTTTGTAGACGGCTGTTCAAATTACCTCTCTGTCAGCAGGTGGTGCTTGTAGGAATGAACAAGCTGTAGTGTTGTTTTTGGGACCTCTTACCATCTCTAGCTCCTCAGGAGAAGCATTTGAATGCCCCAGGTGGTAGGCGGGGCCCTGGAATTTCCAGGTGAGTCCTTATTCTCCATCATGGCAGAGGTGGGTGGGGGAGTGAGGCTGGGTGGGGCTGGGTTGGGTGAGCCTGCCCTTAGCTCCACAAAAGCTGGTAAAGTAGCTGTCTCAGCAGGGCTCAAAGGTTTGCTCCAGGTCTTCTGGGGAAAGCCACCAAGGAGGGACTGAAGTGGCCCCACCCAGCCAGAGAGTCTGCTTGTGTGGGAGAGGCCATCTGAGATTCACAATCTGGTTGTCAGTGGTCGGTTTTATTCTCCTCCCCACTCCCTTGCTCCAGCCTTTCTCTGGTGTCTGCCAGCAGGCAGGAGCTCAAATCAGCTGAGTTCCTCCATGACGGCACTTTGGGCTGGGAGCTTCCCTGTCCAGGATCCCATCCTGGGGTGAGAATATGGCCTTCCTGTGCGGGGAGGAGTGCTCCACAAGTGTGCCACAGCTTGGACCCACACTGCATCGTCTTTTCAGTTTTGCCCATGTGGGCTTCCTTGCCTCCCAAGATTCGTTCACAAATCTCCCCTCTGTGCCCCCAAGCAACATGATGGCATTCTGGGGGTAAAGGATCTGGTCTGTGAGCCTGTCTCCGGTTCCCTGAAGATCAATCCCTGACTGTGCCAGGTAGAAGCGTGCTGGTCCCGAGTTGCCTATGGGGTGCTCAAGCAGGTTTGATGTCCCTCTGCTTTGGGGTGTGCCCTGCTCTGATGAAGCAACTGAGCAAGCAGCACCAGGGAGGGCCGGTGAGCAGGGAGCTCAAAGTCTGAGCACCCCTTAGTCTGCTGCAGGTCTTTAAGTGGAAAGGTTTGAGCTCCACTCTCTGTGGAATCCTTGGTGTGCTGGATACACCAACAGAGGGGAAACAGCCACTCCTGAGAGCCCCAGTTCAATTGTCTCTCTTAGTAGCTATGGGCAGGGGAGGGGCAGAGGAGGAAAAGAGTTTGAATGGAGGACAGCTAGCTAGCACTCTGGTTACCTCTGTCCCTCTCTCCGGAAGGCAGCCTGCCCATAATGTCTAGGTTCTGGGGTCACGCAGATCCTCTGGGACCCACTGGACCCTGTGGCTCCTGCAGTCTGGGCCAGAGTCGGGAAATGTTTATGTGGGAATGAGCAAGACAAAAACTGAGGGACCCCCTGGGGAGGACAAAGGCACATAGTGGGTAAAGCAATATGGCACCTGCCATCTCAACTCAGGTCTGTGGTGACAGGAAGCAACCCCGAGGGGGGCTGGCAGCCTGGTGCTTTGTCTTCAAGAAGCTCCCAGTTCACTGGTGGCGGCAGCTTTTGGGCTGAGAGTAGAAAGGCTCTCCAGCAGCTCGGGAGCCTGCTGACTGCTAGAGAGGTGAAGGAGGGAGAAACAAACCACCCCACCTACCCTTGTCATGGGACTCCAAGCCTCTGAGGGGTTGATCTCTGCCGGTATCTTGCTCCTTCTTGTTCTGCTCTGCAACTTCTTCCCGTGGAATCTATGGTAGGTTCTAGCACTTTTCCCTCAGAATTACACCAGATCTATGTTTGTTTGTTTTTTCTTTTTCATTTAAAACTTTTCCTTCCTTCTGAGACAATCTGGTCGCTGGGGTCAGCTATCTTGTCTCTGCCTTTTATCCCCATTTTTATTTTTAAGTTTTCTTCTTTTATGTTTTGTCCATCTGACTATATGATTTTTACACAATTATGGCGATGTTACAGTTATGTCATATCTCAGCCAAGGAGATTGAGAATTTCAAGGGAGAAAAATAAAGAGATATCAACAATGTATTATGCTCACCTTCTGCAAAACTTTCCATACTTTTTGATAAAATCCAACTGGGACTCTATTCAGTGCTCCATCCAGCCTCCTTCTGCGTTGCCATTGACCTTGACGACTATCTTTAGATAACTGATGATCATATGTACCAGGAAAGGATCCACTACTTTGAGTCATAGAGGTTCCAGGTGACTTGGGAGAATAGGAAAGGAAAGAACATAAACCAAAAGTTATCTCTGTTTCTATGATAAAGTATTATAGCACAGTGAATAATAAATACTCTCTGCAGAATTATAAATCACATATTAAGTGAAACAGCCAAGATAAAGAGGTTACAGTGAAGCTAGTAGCCTTATATGTAGCTATGTAGTGGTATAAACTGGCAAAATCTTTTTATAAAGTAATCCAGTGATACATAAGAAGAGCCATAAAAATATTGATGGCATTGGACATTCTTAGCTGTCTCTTTAACTGGTTATCTTTGTTAAACTTCTAGCTGGTCTATGGCTTAATTTGTTCCTCTTATGGGCCTAATACAAGCCATAATAAATTTAAAAGAATTGAAACCATACAAAGTATGTTTAATTCCACAATGGTATTAAATTAGAAGTGAGTAACAGAAGGAAATTTAGGGAATTTACAAATACATAAAATTTGAACAATATACTCCTAAATAACCAATGCATTAAGGAAAATAAATCACAAGGAAAATTAGAAAATATTCTGAGATGAAGGAAAACAAAAATACAACATACCAAAACTTATGGGATGCAGCTAAAGCAATGCTTAAAGAGGAAATTTATGTTATAAATGCCTGTATTAAAAAAGAATAAAGATCTCAAATTAATAACCAAACCTTCCACCTTAAAACAAGGAAAAAAAGAAGAGCAAATGAAACCAAAAGCAAGCAGAAGGAAGGAAATAATAATAAAGATTAGAAGGGAAAGAAATGAAATAGAGAATAGAAAAACAACAGAGAAAATGAATGAAACCAAAATTTCTTTCCATGAAAATATCAACAAAATGGACAAATCTTTAGCTGAATGGACCAAGAAAAAAGGAGGAAAGACATTAATTCTGACCTTACAGAAATAAAAAGGATTATAAGGTCATACCATCAGCTGCCATATGCTAACAATGTACATAACCTAGATGAAATACACAAATTCCTAGAAAGACACAAACTACCCAATCTCCAAATTGATTCAAAAAGAAACAGAAAATCTGAAAACACCTTTAACGAATAAAGAGATCAAATTAGTAAGTACAAAATTTCCCACAAAGAAAAGTCTATGCATAGAATGTCTTCACTGGTTAATTCTACAAAACATTTATAGAAGAATTAACACTAGTTCTTTGCAATCTCTTCCAAAAAAGAGAAGAAGAAGGAACACTTCCCAACTTATTCTATCATGCCAATACTACCCCAATAACAAAACCATACAAAGGTTTCACAAGAAAATTATAGTCTAATATCCTTCATGAATATAGATGTAAAAATTCTCAACAAAATACTAGCAAATCAAATTCAACAATATACTAAAAGGATTATACAACATGATAAAGTAGGATTTATTTCAGGCATTATAGGTTGTTTTAATATCTGAACATTAATTAATATAATACACCGTATCAATAGAAAAAAGGATAAAAACTACATCATCTTAATAGATGCAAAAAAGCACTTAATGAAATTCAACACACCTTCATGATAAAATCACTCAACAAACTAGGAACAGAAGGGAACTTCCTCAATCTAGTAAAAGGTTAGGTATTTTCCTATAAAAATCCATAGCCAACATCATCAGTCAAAGACTGATTATTTTTCCCCCAAATCAGAAGACAAGGATGCCCATTCTCATCACTTCCATTCAACTTTGTACTGGAGGTTTTAGCCAGGGCAACTAAGCAAGAAAAGAAATAAAAGACATATACATTGGAAAGGAAGAAATAGAATTATTAATATCTCTATTTGTAGATGACATGATCTTATATATAGAAAATACTAAGGCATTCACTAAAAAACAACTACAAATAATCAATGAATTCAGTAAAGTTGCATGATATAAGCTCAATAACAAAAATCAATTATATTTTACTTGAATAGACATTTCACCAAAGAAGATACACAAATGGCCAACAGGTATATGAAAAGATGGTCAATACCACTCATCATCATGGAAATGCAAATCAAACCAAAATGAGATATCACTTCATACCTATAAGGATGGTCATTAACAAAAAAACAAATGGTGTAAGTGTTGGTGAGGATGTAAAGAAACTGGAACCTTTGTACACTGTTGGGAGGAATGTAAAATGACACAGCTACTATGGAAAACAATATGGAGGTTCCTCAAAAAATTAAAAATAGAATGGGTACAGTGGCTCACACTTGTAATCCTAGCACTTTGGGAGGCCAAGCAGGAGGATCACTTGATGCTAGGAGTTTGAGACCAGCCTGAGCTACATATACATAGCAAGACTCTGTCTCTGTAAAAAATAGAAAAATTAGCTGGGCGTCATGGTACATGCCTGTAGTCCCAGCTATTTGGGAGGCTGAGGCAGGAGGATTGCTTGAGCACAGCAGTTTGAGGCTGTAGCGAGCTATGATCACACCACTGCACTCCAGTCTAGGCGATAGAGCGACACTCTGTCTCAAAAAAAAAAAATTAAAAATAGAATTACCATATATATGATACAGAAATCTGGGTATTTATCCAAAAGAACTGAAATCAAGATCTTATGGAGATTTGCACTCCCATGCTCAATGCAGCACTATTTACAGTAGCCAAGATATGAAAATAACCTAAATGTCTACGGACAGTTGAATGGTTAAAAAAAAAAAAAGTGGCATATACATGCAATGAAATATTATTCAGCCTTAAAAAAGAAAGAAATATTGCAATATATACAACATGGATGAATCTGGAGGACATTATGCTAAGTGAAATAAGCCAGTCACAGAAGGACAGATATTATATGATTCCAGTTATGTGATGTATCTAAAATAGCCAAGCTCATAGAAGCAAAGAGTAGAACGGTGGTTGCCAGGGCTGAGAACTTGCTACAATGGGTATAAAGTTTCAGTTATGTAAGATGAAAAAGTTCTAGAGATCTACTGTACAACATCATGCCTGTAATGATACTGTATCATATACTTAAAAATTTTTTAAAAGGGCAGATCTCATGTTAAATGTTCTTACTATAATAACAAAATCAAATTTATTTCTAAAGAGCAGCAATTAGCAATCTGAAAATGAAATTAAGAAAACAATTCCATTTAAATTCCCATCAAAGGGAATAAATATATAGGAATAAACCTAACAAAAGAAGTACAAAACATATATTCTGAAAACTATAAAATATGTTCAAAGAAACCAAAGACCTAAGTAAATGAAAAGAAATTGCATTTTCATGGATCGGAAGACTTAATATTGTTAAGAGGGCAATACTTCCCAAATTGATCTATAGATTGAACACAATCTCTATCAAAATCCCAGCTGGATTCTCTGCAGAAATTAATAAACTGATCCTAACATTTATATACAAATTGAAGGGATACATGATAGCTAATACAATCTTAAAAAAGAAGACTGAAGTTGGAAGATTCACATTTCCTAATTTCAAAATTTACTATAAAGCTACAACAATCAAAACTGTCATACTGACATAGGATACACATGTAGATCAATAAAACAGAATTGGGAGCCAGAAATAAACCATTATATTTTGGTCAATTAATTTTCAACAAGGATGCCAAGAGAATTAAATGAAGGAAAGATATTCTTTTCAACAAATAGTGCTGGAACAATGGATATCCACATACAAAAGAATAAAGTTGGACCCTCTACCTTACACTGTACACAAAAATTAAGTCCAAATGGATCATTGTGCAGAAAAGAGTTAACACAGCGGGCCAGAACTGCTATTCTTGGAAAGGCCTGCTTACAAGGTTGGCCTTTGGCTGGCATCTAGAAACTTAGATTTTGGGAGGGTTCCCACCATTCCCAGAACTGATAACAGTAGCTTACTGTACCTAAACTGTTTGTATAAACACTATGGTTTATGTTGAATACCTGCTTTCTTTCTGGGAGTCTGGAGTTTTGGTACATGCCAGACAGAGGCTGTTCACATGACCAGCCCCCAATAAAAACCCTGGGTGCTGAATCTTTAACGAGCTTCCCTGGCTGGCAATATTTCACACACGTTGTCACAACTTGTTGCAGGGGGAATTAAGTGTATTCTGTGTGACTCCATTGGGACAGTACTCTGGAAGCTTGCACCTGTTTTCTCTGGATTTTGCCCAATGCATCTTGTTCCCTTGCTGATTTTACTTAGTATCCTTTCACTGCATAGTTGTGGCTATGACTATATGTTGAGTCCTGTGAGTCCTCCCAGTGAATAATCAAACCTGGGAGTGGTCTTGGGGACCCCCTTTAACATAGACCTACATGTAATAGCTAAAACTATAAAACTCTTAAAACAAAAAATAAGAATAAATCTTTGTGGCTCTGGGTTCCGCAAAGACATGACACCAAAATCATGCGCAACAGAAGAAACAGATAAATTAGATTTTGTCAAAATTAAAAACTTTTGTTCCTCAAAGAACACCATTAAGAGAGTGAAAAAAAACCATAGAATGGGAGAAAATATTTGCAAATTATATATCCAACAAGGGACTTATATCCAGAATATATAAAGAATCCTTGCAACTCAACAATAAAAAGACAAAAAAAAAAAAAAAAAAAAACAACCCACAATTACAAATGGGCAAAGGTTCTGAATTGACATTTCTCCAAAGAAGATAAACAAATGGCCCATAAGCACGTGAAAAGATGCTCAATATCATTAGCCATCAGGGAAATGCAAATCAAAACCACAATGAGATACCACTTCATACCCAGTAGGATGTCTAGAATCAAAAAGACAGACAATTATAAACAAGAGTTGGCGAGGAAGTGAAGAAATTAGAATCCTCATATGTTGCTGGTAGGAATGTAAAATAGTACAGCCCCTTTGGCAAAGTTTGGCAGTTTCTCAGAATGCTAAACATAGTTACCATATGACCTAGCACTTCCACTCCTAAATATATATCCAAGAGAAATGAAAATATAAGTTCATACAAAAATTTGTACACAAAGGTTCATAGCAGCATTATGCATAGAAGCCAAAAAGTAGAAACAATCTAGGTGTCCATCAACAGATGAATGGATAAATAAAATATGGTGATCAATATAATAATGATGCTATTCAGCAATGAAAAGGAATAAAGTATTGAAACATGCTATAGCATAATGAACTTTGAAAAAATTTTATGACGTAAAGGATAAAATACACTGAGGAAAGTGGTTATTTGACAGCTTAGATTCAGAAATCAATATAAAATAGAAGACAATAGAAATATTTTCTGAGAAAAGAATTCATATTTTATTTTGGGCCAAATGTGTAAATCACAAACCACTGCAATGTAAAAGAGAAAAGTATCCCCAAACATTTCTGTTGGCAAGTGATTATCACATACACTGAACTGTCAAGTAGATGAACTGCCATTTAATTCATCTTCATTGTCTTGTCTCTACCACCGAGATCCTAGGCTGCTGATAGTGGGGTCAAACCAGAAAGGGTATGGGTCTGATAGAGTACAATTCAGACCATTTTCCAAACCAAATAACAATAGTTTTGAGTTTTTTACATTAAATTTTCTTCTATACCTTTGTCCTCTATTAATATAGATATGACAGCCTTGGCCAAGTCTTAATTCATTACAGGGTATTTGGTTAAAGTTAACCAAAATCCTAATATTACTTTCAATAGTTTTCCATTTTATGTTTGGTCGTCACCTGGCCTAAATCTCTTTAGCCTGAGCAATCTGAAATTATAGGCCATTATGAATCATTGATTTAAACCAAAGAAATTTAATTAGAGATCAGTCTTCCTAAACTGTAAGCTTCATGAGGGCAAGGACCCCATCTGTTTTGTTCACTATTGTATCTCCAGTGCCTGGCACAAAATTAGCACTCAATTAATATTTACTAAATGAATTAATAATCAGAAGAACAGCTAACTCACTGGTTTTTAATCTTAAAATACATCAGAATCATTTAAAGAGCTTATTAAAACACAGATTACTGGGCCAGTATGCCTAGGGTGAGGACTAAAAATTTGCATAGTAGGCATGTAATAAATTATATTAGTTGAAAGAATGAATGAATACACAGATACTTAACAAATACTTATTAAATTGAATTTTGTTTTCTGAAATGGAAAAGAGGTTGAACTCCCTTCCCTGCCTTATTGGGAAAAAAATGGAAACACTTCACCCACATATATGAAAGTGCTTTATACTTAGCTTAGTTCTTAATTAATTTTGTTTTTCTTTTTAGTCAACCAGTATATGTCATGATTTATACAACATGTTTTCAAAGCACTTGTGAATGGCATATAATACAAGATAACAGCAGTTACCAGAAAAGGCGGTGACATCAAATCTATACCCAGGGGATGACCACCATTGGACTATGAAAAAAAAATTGAGAAAATAAAATTTTAAAAGGCATGAGGCAAGGCAACTGTTACTTGTGTTTCTAAAAGTTATTAGTAGAATCAAAGTACAGACTATTTAAGTAACTAGCCAGCATGATATCATTAAAAAGCTGATGAAATAACCTTACTCTAGAAGTCATGGTAAAGGGTAAAATAAATAAAACTACCTCAAAAATGTTTTTTCCATAATGAGAAACGAGGGCACTGGTGAGTGGTAGAGAAAAGGGCTTAGAACAATACAAAATGCCAGACAGGCAGGTGAGGATGGAAATCAATATTTAGAAGTAAGAAAGTAACAAAAGTTTAGGGCTCTGAATCCTCTAAATTATAGTTCTAACGATTTTGGCTCCCTTGAAGACCTATAGATAGTAAATGTGTAGAAAAAAGCCTAAATGATGTAGCTGGGTAGGTCAAGTCTTTTTTTTCTTTTTCTTTTTAAATTTATTTATTTGTTATTTCAGCATATTTTTTTTCTCTTTTCTTTCTTTTTTTTTTTTTTATACAAGAGACAGGGTCTCACTCTACTGTCTAGGCTAGAGTGCAGTGGCACAATCACAGCTCAGTATAACCTCAAACTCCCAGGCTGAAGCGACCCTCCAGTCTCAGCCTCTCTAGTAGGTAGGACTATGGGTGTGCACCACCAAGTTTTTTTTTTTTGTAGAGATGGGGTCTCGCTACATTGCCCAGGCTGCTCTCAAACTCCTGGCCTCAAGGGATCTTCCCACCTCGGCCTCCCAAAGCGCTGGGATTATAGGCATTAGCCACCACACCTGGCCAGTAAGTCAAGTCTTAATATCATATTAATCTAGCTGGGAACATGCACTTTGAGTTCTAAATATATAATGAACTTGTAAGTAATACTCTGTGACTATAAACAACTATAAAATATTTAGCCAATCACTCTCAACCAAAATAAGGACGATTTACTAATAACATCAGTTTAACTATTCAATATTCAATGTATAATTCTTTCACCTTTCGAATAGGAAAATGTCCAGATTACTCAAATTATCTGGGAAAAAATTGTAAAGTGAACACTTTTAAAAAAAAAACAAAAAACACAAGGCCTGTTCTTATTCCATTCCATTCTTGTTCTTGCATAAATGTAAATGTCAAAGGGTATTTGATCAGTGTATTCGAGTTTATTTCAAATTAAGCTTTAAGCATTGGATCATTTTCCTCCTAAATTGTTTCTGATTCCTTTTTAAAAAAACAAACAGCTGTGAATGGTGGCGCATGTCTGTAGTCCCAGCTACTCAGGAGGCTGAGGCAGGAGGATCGGTTGAGTCTAGAAGTTCTGTCTGTAGTGCACTATACCGATTGGGTGTCCACACTAAGTTTGGCATCAATATGGTGACCTCCCAGGAGTGGGGGACCATCAGATTGCCTAAGGAGGGGTGAACTGGCCCAGGTTGGAAACAGAGCAGGTCAAACTCTTATGCTGATTAGTAGTGGGATCGCGCCTGTGAATAGCCACTGTGCTCCAGCCTGGCCAACATAGTGAGATCCCATCTCTAACAAACAAAGCCAAACCACCCCCCAAATCTCCATTTCATCTCTCTCCTTCTGAAGGTGTTTTAATACTGTGAGCTATCACAATTCTATTTTGAAAGTAAGAGGAGTGGTTTTAAGCTTTTCATAAAAAGGGCTTCTAGGAGAGACCAAATGAGTACGTTCTCAACTTCAAGATCTTGAAACCATATGATTTCCTAGGATTTTAAAAAAAGGTATAGAAATCTGTGTCAACTATTTCCTTGTAGGATGTAACAACTCCATCTATTTTCACCTGTAGGAAAAAGTAAGAGACTATAATATCATGTTTAGTGACTCCCAGTGACTCCCAGAATGATTTAGGTGCTTCTCCTCTATTTGTCCTCAACACTTTTTGTATAACTTGTTAAAGAAAAAATTATTCAATGACACTTGTTAAAGCATGGTAAGGAAGACTTTATTTAGGACCATTGTGGTAGGTATAGGGACCACTGCAACTGGGGTCTTGCAGTGGAGGAGAGAGATTGGGCTCAACTCTAAATATAACATGGGCAAGCAGGAATTTATAGCCAAGGGGTAGTGTGGGGGATCAGTGGATGGAAAATTAGTAACACTAGAAAATACTGGGGTAAGACAGATTCTGGTTAAACTGACCTAACAGGATTCTTGTTAAAGACAGGCCAGGGTGATCAGACATCATTTGGGGGGTGGTGGAGGATAAGGAACCTGATCAGATATTGAGGATGATCAGGCATCAAGGATAATCAGACATTGAGGATAGAGGGTTCTAGGTAAAATGACTTAGCCAGGTTTTTTTTTTGCTAAAATGGGATTTTACAAGGAAGTGCACAGATGGGCTTAGGAGAAGGTTCAGAAGCCTGACTAAAGTTTGGCTAAACAAAGACTCTTTTTCAAGGCAATGATAAAAGTCAAATTTGGAGATAATACCTGAAAACGAATTTAAAAAATAAGGTCCTCACCTAATCTCATGTTCTCTCTAGTAGCTATTCTTAAAAATAAGAAGTCTAAGTCTAGTTTTATAAAGAAAATTAATTACCAAATTGCATGTCAGTCCTAATAGCAGAAACTCAGGATTTCAATTTCTTGCTATCAAATGCAAGTTGCTTTCCTTCTACAATTAGCAAAGTAGTTCCAGAAAAATGAAAGCTAGTTAAAAAATGATTGTTATAAAGGAGATTCAAATAAGCTACTCCATGGCTTGTTACCTTATTTGTAAAAAGGCCATGAGCTCATGCATGTTATATAGAACTAAAGGCAAGCTAAACTATGTTAAAGGATCTCTAGTTATTTCACCTGGCTTTCAGCTGAGATAGACAGTCTATGAAATTCCACCTGAAAAATAAATGGCTCAAATTAAACGCAGGATATGAAATAATGGATCCCAACAAAGTTTGATTCCAAAAGAATATTCTTAAACATAGCAATATCCCAGCTAATCTCCCAAGTAGTATCTTACCTGCTTTATCTCACTTTTTAACTGCATGATCCCAGTTCGTTCTGTTTTGGTTGCTCCAACAGCACCAATCTCGTGGATAGAAATAGCAGGACTGACGTTCGAATCAGTGGGACGAACTATACATAGCATGAAAGATTCAAGAGAAAGAGAGAGGATAATCAAATACAATTTTTTCTCTAGCATGTTAAAAAGACTTAGATGTATGTCCTTATTTTTAACTTAATTTTAAAAATTAATTATAACCTTGCTATTTAAACGGTGGTCCATGGACCAGCAGCATCTGTACCACCTAGTAGTTTGTCAGAAGAATCTCAGGTCCCACTCCAGACTTACTAAGTCAGAATGTGCATTTTAGCAAGATCCCCAGCTTGAGGAATACTACATTATACCTTTTTTTTTTTTTTAATTACTCTAAGGTCTGACATCCATCCATTTGACCTTATATATCAATTTATCCTAAGCCTGAAAGTTGAGCGTGAGAGATAACCCCTTTTCATTTGCTCTGCTGCTTTAGGTATGTGACACCAAATACTGCCTAAACCATGAATGCAGGTGGAAGATTAGTTTGTGATGAACTCTGAGATATATTTAAATCTAAAGTTGAAAATATACATAAGATGTATTATAAGCAGCTACACATATACATACATATACAACATTGCAAGTGCTACTGAATTACTGGCAATTAGAATACAAGACAGTTTCAGAAGATATGCGTTGCTAGTTGTCCTAAAGCAGAGACATGAAGTAATGTAAGGGAATGAATAAAAAACTTAAAAACAAAACACGATAGTAAGCAATCCACTTAGTTCATATATCATTATTTAAGGAAAAAAATGAGACACATAGTAGTTTCCTAATCTTGTTTCAGAAGACAGCTTTGCTTTTAACTGTTTTATATATTGGGGTTCTATTTATTTGTGGTAGAAGGTTTCTCTGATGAAAGAAAAACCATTTTAAAACCAATAAGGCACTTAAACCAAAGTCAGAAATGGAAATTCAGTTATTTAATCTCACCGCTTCGTTCCACTCCAAACTCCTTGCCACTGAGAATGTGATGCAGGAGATTCTTCATGGCTGAAGGACTGAGATTCATCAGGCCCTCTGTGGCTTCCTCAGCTAGTCAGCAGAAACATTAGAACAGAAGGACTTCAATTTGCCTGCCATTCCCTCCCTCTTTTTCTCTATTTCCTTACTTGCTTAGAATTTCTGAGTCCCTCGATTAGAAGGATAGAATTACAAAATAAATTGCTAGTACCATATTGCTTGGATATTCACACTGCAATAAATTCCTAATTATTTAAGGACTGACTATCCAGTTTGTGGATTAGCCAGGTCATTGACTTCTTCTTCACCACCCTCCTCCACACCATTAGGGTACTCAGAATCCTTATTTGAAAGTGGTAAGAATAAAAGAACAATGGAATTGGAGGCCATTTAGAAAAGGCAATGAATGTATGTATGCAGATGGACTTGAATACTTAAAACTTCTCAGTGTAGAAATATAGAGACTTAAAGGAGAATAGATATGAATCCATGAAATGATGAAGAATATTGAGAGGATAACTTGAACTTGTTCATCAACATCAGACACTTATTAAGAATTTACTACAGGTAGGTCATCATTTTAACTAATGTTAGTATAAACAAGTATGACATGGTACCTGACCTTGAGAGGCTGACCATCTATTTGAGAGAGGTGGAACATGTAAACAAGATAAGCAACAAGAAACCACTGTATGTACTAAATGTGAAATGAGAGGTATATACAATAAGTGCTTTTGAAATCAGAGGAGACATCATTCTTCAAGGATGGGGATTGATAAATAGCGGGAAGTACTGTTGAAGTAGTAGGTAGAAGCCAGACTGTTGAGGGTGTTGAATATCAGACCCAGGGATTTTTGACTTTATCCTATAGGGAATAAAGAGCCATGGTTTTGATGAATCCATAGGAGAGCAAGATCCATAACAGGAAAAGTGAAGAATGTTCACTCATTGAGGTTTATTAATGATCAATCACACCCTCTCATAAAACATTCCTTGATACCACAACTAGAGAATACTATATGATACGTTTATCTATAACAATGTGCTGAACTGGAAATTATTTGAAATCAGAAAGACTTGAAGTTAAATTTCACTATTTACTAGCTTGATATTACTTTGGGCAAGTTACTTAACCTCTCTGAGGTTATTGGTAAAAGTGGGACAATAATACCTTCTCCAGGATTGTTGTAAGGATTAAATGAGACAATCTATGTAAATATAAAGCAAAAAGTACAGTGTCCAGCATATGGTAGGTATAAAATAATTGTTAGCTCTCTTCCTTCAAAGGGTTATTTAAATATAAATTATCTCATTTGTTTGATTTAGGTCTGACTCAAACCAATACATTTAGCTTCTTGTTAAAAGCTCAGTTAAAAGTCTTTTGGGAAAATTTAACTGAAAGAATGGCTAAAAATTGAGTTTTACAACTGTGATTTTATTTTTCTATGCCATCCCCATCTGTCTTATTTTGCCATTCCTGTTGAAATCAAACAAATACTAATGGAAAAAATGAGTCATGCCATAGGGGTCCTTTTTCCCCTTCATACTTTCATATATTTCTGCTCTGCAGCTTCCACAGGCCCCAACTATTTTTCAAACTAAAACTTTTATCTTGCCAAATATACCTTTAGTTCATTTCGAAGAGAATCTTGTCAAATAAACATTAATAAAATAGTCTTCCTTTATTCAATCATGATGCTGACTAGACAGAATACTGACACTATGATCCACTAATGTAACGACTCAATTTTGGTATCTAGAAGCTCCACTGCCTAAACCTGAACCCAACCTGGTTTGTCACACTCAAGTACTCTCCAGAGCACTCGAGGAGTTAGGAGAAATGAAGCTAGCTAAGAATAATTGGTTAAGCGGAATTTGGAGTGCAGAGACCCCAAGAAGTGGCATTTTAAAGTTGCAGAACTAAAATACAAATGGGTCATCATATCAACCCCTTGACTTGTATAAGTAGTGACTAACATGGGAACAAGATTGCCATATGCAGCCTCTGAACTATGAATAAAAATGTTTTAGCTTTCTTTCCTCCCTGATCCAAAACTCCATAGACCTACATTAAAAGCAAATTTCATCTAAAATAGTTACTGAATTGAGTACCTGAGCATCGAAGGGAGTGGGCTAGTTCTGTTGCCATAACTTGTATGATCAGGCCAATTCGAAGTCGAAACATTTCAGCAAAGAGGCCAGGCTGGGTTCGCATATACATGGCCAGATATACCATTATTTCCTGTACACAGAATGAATATAGACAAAAATTACAGCCCAGGTTTCATAATGCCTATTTAGTCATCTTTGGAAATTGCCAGATGAATTGAAAACAAACTTTAAAATATCAATCACCAGATTAAGCTTTATAATTCTGCTCACCTGTGTAAGGATTGAAATGCTCATGTCCCCTTCACTGGCTTCATCTATCAGCTGAGTAAGTGCCTCATAGGGCAGAGGTCTAAGGAACAAGACAGTGAAGACAGACGAAATTCTACAACCACTTAAACCTAAATATGTTGCAAAAATTAAAAAAGCTATTCCCAAGTCCATATCATTTCCTCAACATTTTATCATTAACAGTAGCATTCTGGTTCTTTCAGTCTTCAAAGCTCGTCCATTGCCTCCTCAAACCACCCTGGCCCATATCAACTCGGAAGAACTCTGTTCTCTCTTCTCTAAACCTGGATTGAATAAACCTTCAAAATTTTACTTAAAACTCACCCCATGATGTCCTTTTAGACCAGTCTTTCGTGGTTAGTTCTTGACAGGTAATTGTTATGGCTACAAAGTAACAAACTAATTTTAAGCTGTGCCTTTTTTATGGACACATAATATTTGTACATATTTATGGGGTACATGTGATGTATTGTTACATGCATGGAATATGTAATGATCAAGTCAGGGTATTTAGGCTATACATCACCTTGAATATTTATCGAGGTGTTGGGACCATTTCAAGTCCTCTCTTCTATCTACTTAGAAATATACAATACATTGTTGTTAACTATAGTCCTATTCTGCTATCAAACGTAAGAACTTATTCCTTCTAATTGTATGTTTGTACCCATTAACCAACCTCTCTTCATCTCCTCCCTACATAATGGAATACTATTCAGCCATAAAAAGCTGTGCCTTTTGGAAACCATTTTATTACTTTACAATCACATCTTAGAGAGTTGTATTGATTTTCTATAGTTTCATCAGTTCACACACACAAATACTCACATACACACTCACACATAGCTATACACACATCCTCCCACACTTCTGACTCTTCCGTTGACACAAAGCACTCTGGGGGCATGGACTATGCCATCTTCTTTTGTATTACCGACAGTGTCACAAAATTGATCTGATTTGTGATAAAGGGTTGTTTGCCAGGAGCAAAGGTTTATGGGTTGAATTGTGTCCCCCAGAATTTTTATATCGAAATCCTAACCCTTAGTACTTTGGAATGTTACCTTATGTGGAGACAGGGCATTTACAGAGGTAATTAAGTTAAAGTGAAGTTATTAGAGTGGGACCTAATTCTATATGACCGATGTCCTTATAAAGACAGAAAATTTGGACACATAGACATGCACAGAAGAAACATGAAGAGACACAGGGAGAAGACAGCCATCTACACATCAAAGACAGAGGCCTAGAACAAAGTCCCTTCTAACCTTCAGAAGGGACCAACCCTGTTGACACCCTGATTTGGACTTCTAGCTTCCAAAACTGTGAGAGAATAAATTTTTGTTGTTTAAGCCACCCAGTTTCTGCTACTTTGTTATGGCAGTCCAAGCAAACTCACACACAAGGTTAGGAGTATTTTTCTGAAAGTATAACTGGGACTTTACACATTGAACCTATGATGCATGGTCCTATGATCTGTCTCTCTGAGCCTTTGTATAGGAGTCTGAACCGGATCTTAGGGGTAACAGAAATCATGGACATAAACCAGGAAGGAGGTGGTATCCAGACATCAGCAAAGGTATCCCTGCTTACTTCTCCCTCATTTCTTCCTGATTAAGCTCTCTATCTAGAACATGTTTTGTTTACAAAATAAGCTTTTTACTACACTGGCTACAGAAGTAGAACTGGCAGGTAGAGGGAATACCTTGTTTTAAATTACTCCTTACTAGAAAAACAGATTTTTTTTGCTCACTTATGAATGCAGTTAGAATCCCTCTAAAAATATTTCTTGGAAATACAGCATGTTTGCAGATTTAAATTTTGGCACTGGCCTGACATGAGATTAAACAGATTTACTGTGGACGAGTTTTACTGGCATGGCTAGTGGCAAAAGGAAGACCAATGTATAAGAATTAAACTTCACATCCCAGCCTGTCACTTGACTCCCCCTCCCCTCCAGCCCAAGCTTATCCTAGGGCTATGGTCTTCAACCCCTGGGCTGCGGACCAGTACCCAGTACCCGTCTGTGGCCTGTTAGGAACTGGGCTGCACAGCAGGAGGTGAGTGGCAGGCCAGCCAACGAAGCTTCATCTGTATTTACAGCCAACTTCCCATGGCTTGCATCACTGCATAAGCTCTGTCTCCTGTCAGATCAGCAGGGCATTAGATTCTCATACGAGTGTGAACCCTACTGTAAACTGTGCATATGAGGGATCTAGGTCGCACGTTCCTTATGAGAATCCAACGCCTGATGATCTGAGGTGGAGCTGAGGTGGTGATGCTAGCGCTGGGGAACGGCTGCAAATACAGATTGTCATTAGCAGAGAGGTTCGACTGCACAATAAATGTAATGCACTTGAATCATCCCGAAACCATCCCCTTCCCTGCCATCTGTGGAAAAAGTGTCTTCCATGAAACCAGTCCCTGGTGCCAAAAGGGTTGGGGACTGCTATCTTAGGGCACTGTTTCCAACTGTAAGCTGTGGCAGACCTGAGACAATGGCAAGCTGATTACAGTTTTCTGGAAGGGGTGCTACCTCACTATGCTCTGTAAGTACCCATTTTTCCCCTTTGACTATGACTGCACCCCCGTTTTATTCCTTCTTGAGCAGCATGGGGTTGCATCATCAGCCCTGTGCTCCGGCCAGACACTTTCTTCCACCTCCTCTTTCCAGAGTATGGCTGACATCTTGTGGGTGCTAATTTCAGGTGCCCTGTTTGTTTTGTTCTTTGAATGGGAGGTTTGGAAAAACCTAGTAAGTAAAAAAAGTTTGAGTACTACTCCCTATGAGTTTTTCCTTTCACTCACTCACACCCTGTCATTACCAACATTCTCCCACTAAGTGTTTCTGATAGAAGTGCACACATATAGGACTTTGTCATCCATTGACAGATTAGGGCAAGAGAATTGTGGTAGGTCCACACAGCTTCCTAAAGGCTCAGAGAAAATTGATCAAATCCAACCATACTCACGCAGAGATAGTCTTTTCTCGAGGTTCTGGAGGGAGCCCAACTGTCAAATGTTTCTGGTGGGAGAGAAGGTCTGTGCAGGCCTAAGAAGAGACAGTATAACATTATCCTTTTCATAACACCTCAGGTTTACACAAACATTTCTCTTCTTAGCTCAGAAATCTTTGCTCCCCCTTAACTTAATGACATATCAAACTCTCTTCCTCAGGAAATATTAAATACTATGAAGATCAGAAAAGAAGGATTTCTAGGAAGGAACAATGAGATCTTTTCATTTCCAAGGAGGCAGGAACTTTTTTGTTTGTTTGGCTTTTGTCTTTCTTTTAAAAAATTTTAAAAATAATTTTATCAAAGAATCTAGTTCAAAAAAAGTCCTCTTTCTTTTTCTTTCCTGTTTTTGGCTTATCTTCATTCTTTAT